AAAAAAAAATCAAATTATTCTGTTCACTTGGCTGCATCTAAATGTCTCATTTTCAGCTTACAGGAAAGAATGCTGTGGAAGCAATCTTTGACATTACAGCAGAGTGACCGTAAATTGCTTGAATTAACTGTTGGAACTGCAAATGTAAAAACACATGAAAGTCATTGTCTGAAGTAGAACAAGGATTTTTCATTTGCGTTTTGTACTTTGTATAATATTTATCACTTAAGCTTTACATTTAAGATATGTTTTAAATTATCATTTACTCAGTTTCACAGAGGAAGATCGGCTAACAGGGCACTAGGAAAATCAGCGGCAGAATTGAAAACTGAATTCTTGAATCTTATTTTTCAACATTTCCATTGTTGTCATAAAGAAGCGCTAACTTTTCTTTGTTTTTAAATAGCAAAACAAACAATATATGGTAGGCTTGAAAGTTAGAGTTCATAAAGTGCTTTTTATGGTTTCCAATAGACCAAATTCCCCTCATAGTCTTAAGCTTTTATTATGAATTTAGTTGTGTAAATCAGTCTGTTGCTGATAAACACAAATTTATTTTAGTCTTGGGACCAGCCTGTCTCTTATTATGACTTTAGTTGTATAAATCAGACTGTTGCCAATAAACACAAATTTATATTAATTCTAAGATCAACATTTTGAGAAGGGATAAAGTAGGGATCATCTGAGAGTTTTTAAAAGAATGTTTGTCCAAAATAGCTGGTAGAATAAAAATATATTATACAAACTAAAATAGGGCAAAAGAGCTAAAATGCAGTACATGGTCTAAAATAAGCAGTTCAAATGAGTCCAAGTGCAAAATATGTAATTATCTTTCCTATTACCTTATATGTACACAAGTTCTTTTAATTTTTAAAATCCTACATTTTGTTCCTTTTGTTGTTTTAAAATAAATATATATGCATTGAATTTAACAAACTAAAAGTTTTGAAATTGCCATTTTAACCTACAGATTGATATTTTACACTAGTAGGTAGTAATGGCTATTTATTTATTGGTAGGTGATTGGCCTCTATAAATTAAAAATGAAGAAGGAATGAATGAGTTTGATTTATCTGCATCTCTGCAACTCTTTTCCTCAACCTCTTTGAATCCCATGGTCTTTTTAAATACCTGTCTCCACATCCTCAGGAATGACTTAACGAATGTTCCACATACATGTAGTAGCCATTTTAGTGTTCATTAATTTTATGAGTGAGTGTTGCACATCTTCCAGGGGTTTAGAAATTGCTCCATGGAGCACAGAGTTTCTGTGTGACCATTGATTAGTATTAATGTTTGTTTGCTCCAGCAACACTGACTTTCTTGCTATTCCCTGAACAGGTAGGCACACTCCTCCAACAACTCTTTTTATACTTGCCATTCTCTTTGTGTGGGGTGTTTTTCCTCCAGATCCACATGGTTTACTCACCTCTTTCCATCTTTGCTCAGCTGTTACCTTGTCTTATAACTCTATAAAGGAGCTAAATCCCTACCATTTGAGGATTTTGAGCAAACGAGGATCATAATCTAACTGATGTGTTCAAAGGATCACTCTGCCTGTTGTGATGGGAAGAAACTGAGGGTGAAAATGGGCTGAAGCAGTTAGGGGCAATTGCAATTGTCCAGTGAGAGATAATGGTGGTTCAGACCAGTGGGTGTGGAGGTGGTGAAAAGTGGTTGGATTCAGGATATATTTTGAAGGTAGATTCAACAGGATTTCCTGTCACTTTGAACGTGGGGGTGAGAGAAAAAGAAAGGGGTCTAAGATGCTTCTGAGGTTTTTGGCCTGAGAGACTGAAAGAATAGAATTGGCATTTACTGCAACAGGGAATAAATATCGAGAAAAGAGCACAAAATCAGGAATTTGATTTTGTTTATGGTAGTTGGATAAATGAAATTTGAATTAGGAAAATATCTGGGATGGAGTTATAAAATTTAGGAATCACCAACTTATAAATATTATTTAAAGTCCTGAGCCTTAATGAGATCACCTGGGGAGTGTAGATAAAGCAAAGGGGCTTAGAGTTAAGCCTGGGTGTGCTCTAGTGTTCAGAGGGAGTGACTAGAGGGAGGCCCAGTGAAGGAGAAAAGACCCTGGAAACTGGGACTATGGAAACCAACTGAAGAATGTTCTAGGAAAGAAGTGATCAGCTGCATCAAAATGATGCTGACAGAACATGAAGATGAAGACTGAGAAATGACCATTGGATTTGGCAAGGGAGAGGTCATTGGTGATTTTGATGAACTGTTGTAGTGGAGTGGCGGGGAGGAAAGGCTGACTGGAGAGGGTTTAAGAGAGGATAATAAAAGAGGAAATGTGAATCTCAAATAGAGACTAATTCTTTTTTTTTTTTTTTTTTGAGACAGAGTCTCACTCTGTTACCCTGGCTAGAGTGCCGTGGCGTTAGCCTAGCTCATAGCAACCTCAAACTCCTGGGCTTAAATGATCCTCCTGCCTTAGCCTCCCGAGTAGCTGGGACTACAGGCATGTGCCACCATGCCTGGCTAATTTTTTCTCTATATATTTTTAGTTGGCCAATTACTTTCTATTTTTAGTAGAGACAGGGTCTTGTTCTTGCTCAGGCTGCTTTCGAACTCCTGACCTTGAGCGAACTGCCTGCCTCGGCCTCCCAGAGTGGTAGGATTACAGGCGTGAGCCATTGTGCCTGGACTAGAGACTAATTCTTTACAGGAGATTATTTTGTAAAGTAGAACAAGAAAATGAGATGGGAGCTGAAGAAGGATATGAAGTCAATGAATACTTTTTTAAAATGATGTTTGTATGCTGATGGGAATGATTGGCTAAAGAAGGGGAAATTAGTTATATAGGAGAAAGAAAATGGGGACATTTGTTGGGAACATGTATCCTTTTTTTTTAAAGAGATAGGATCTCATTATGTTGCCCAAGTTGGACTCGACGCCTGGACTCAAGTGATCCTCCTGACTGAACCTCCCGAGTGGCTGGGACTACAGGTGTGAGCCACTGCCCGTGGCTTAATATATTCTTGGATGGGTGTTTCTTCTTCTATAGCACTGTACACAGCACTAAAGGAAGACTTTTCTGTGTTTCTTTTCACACCCTCAAGCTCTCACTGGGCTAGGTGCCCTCTTATAAGCTCTTACTTAACTCTGTACTGTTGTATGTTGCCTCTATACTTACTGCTTTCAAAGTATGACCCCTTGTACTTAGGTCCAGCTGTGTCTTGATCTAAAGAACCACACTTAACAGGCCATGTTAGTTTTAAAGTCCTCTGGAAGCTTAACATAATACCAAAACCACACCTTTTTGGTAATCTTGGACTATAACAGAAGGCAAGAATTATACTAGGATCTCACAAACCTCCCACCCACCATGATGAGCTATTTGTAGATCCTTAGTGGCTCTTAAGTATCCTCCCAGGTGTTGGGTTGTGAATAGCTGGCACATAACGGCATTCAGTCCTGAGAAGTGCTGTTCAGCTGAGCTTCAGTACTGTTTCTCACCATTGGTGTTCCTGGTGGCACAGTGGCTTCTGTGACTCTATCTGGCTTGCCTCAGCTTTGATTCTGTCCATTCAATTTTCATTTCTGCTTTTTCTGTCACAGGGTTAGGCTTTTGGTGATGAAGAAATGCTCTGTCCTTAGCCAGAGGCTGATGAAAGTTAAAAGATGTTGTAAGGAGTAATACAAACAACAAACAACTAGGCAGATGTTCGCTATCACTGTTGTCTGCTGAGCTCAAGGTTTATATTTCTGCATTTTCTAGGTTTTAAGTCAGAGTTTTAAAATTAGGGCCGGAACTTTGAAGCCAGTTGCTAGGATGTTTGTAGAAAGGAGAGATTACTTGTGGAATCATATGTAAGAGGTGTGCATGCATGCTTATGTGCATTCTTCCACCTATCCATAAAAAAATGTTTGTAAATGCTTGCTGTGAATATAGATGTGTTTTGGGAAGTTTCTACTGCTCGTATTTTAAAGGAGGGAAGACAGTGAAGAGATTGGGAGCTCTTTAGTAGTCACAATATGAAAAGATAGAGATTCACTCTTTAGAGTAGTTCTAGAGATCATCCCTGGAATTCTTTGTTCAAACATGTCTAAGTAAAACCCACTGTGTTAAAATACCAAGCTGAGCTATACACTTGCAGTGAGACAGAATGGAGACCCTGGATTCTATCAGCTCAGCATACATCTTTGTTGCCTTTGCAGAGGTTCCCTGGAACCCTTAGGTCTCTGTATAGCCCAGTTGGAAACCTGTCCTCTAGACTATAATAAAGTTTTTAAAAATGTGATTTATTAGTCTTTCCCATCATAAAAATTGAGAGGGAAACTTTTTTCTTTTACATGAGTTTTCTCTCTTAAAAAATAGAAGTTGTTATTTATAGCTTAGTTAAATGTTTTAAATCTCCAAATCTCTAAGCATCTTTCTTATGGAGATTAGTTCATAGAAGAAATTACTGAAAACTATTAGTTGATGATAATGATGTTAATGGACTGTCAGGAAAATTATTTGTGGTATCCACTGATATACTCCTTTACATGGGTAGAAGTTTGACTTTTATATATACTTCAGACACATTGTAGTATAAAGGATGGTGATGTATGTTATTGGGTTGTGGGTTATAAATATTAGTGAAGTGGTCTGATTGCTTGAGTAAAAACAAGTGAATAAAAGGGGTAGGTCTGTATTGTTTGGGTTTTTTAAAAAAAACGATAATCATATATTCATGTATTCCTTTCATACTTTTAAGAAACAAAAAGGTAATACTACTGTATTATAATTTTATTGCACATTTAAAATGCAGATTTTTAAAATTAAAATTGTGCTTTTTAGTAACTAATAATTTAAGAATTCTTTTTGATCCTCCCCTACTTTTCCAACCTTCTTTTCTTGCCTGCTGTTAGGAAACCCAAATTGAAGATGCTTGCATTTTGAACAGGTTGAACTTATGGCCTTGGCTATAATTGTCATTTCACAATCTATTTTTGATTTTAATTTTATTATTATACCCTTCTTTCTACAGACTGGTGAATTTTCAGCTCGTTTCCTTTTGAAGTTGCCAGTGGATTTCAGCAATATTCCCACATACCTTCTCAAGGTAAAAGTATATGATTATCAATATGAGAATATAAATGAGCTTTAAAAATAATTATTTCACTCAATATTTGTATGACTGGTTTGCCAGCATTTTGTTTAGATATTGAATTCTACTAAAAATATTTATTGCCTGAAGATCCATTGAATTATTTTCTAGGCTGGGCACAGTGGTTCACACCTGTAATCCTAGCACTTTGGGAGGCTGAAGCAGGAGGGTTGCTTGAGGCCAGGAGTTCGAGACCAGTCTGGGCAAAATAGTGAGACTCCGTCTCTACAAAAATAAAAAAATTAGCTGGGTTTGGTGGCACGTGCCTGTAGTCCCCGCTACTTGGGAGACTGAGGCAGGAGGATTGCTGAGCCCAGGAGTTTGAGGTTGCTGTGACCTATGATTGCACCACTCCAGTCCAGCCTGGGCAATAGAATGAGATGCTATCTCTAAAACAACAACAGCAAAACACATCCATTGAGTTATATTGTTACCTGAAAAGGTAGCTTTAACAGTTATTTAGAACTGAGTTTTTTGTATAAGATAAAATTAGTATAGGTAAATTAAACTTTGGAAAAAAATCACTTTTATTTAATAATCATATCGGGATGAAAGACTTTCATAGAAATTGTCTAATATGCATTCTGTCTTTAAGTAGGATTTCATATTAACTATGCTGCACTAAAAGGCATTTCATGTTCTTTATTTATGTCAGCATTTGAACCTCAGGCCCCTTTAAACTTAGGCTGTCCTGAAGAAAGCCAGAATCCAGTTAGACCTGTGTATATGGCATTCTTTAAAATATGTAGGCAAAGTGTGGCCTGGGGTACAGCTACTTTGGGAAAAGGTCTGTAAATGCTTTGCAGAAAAGAGGTAGAATCTAAGTGATTAGTCTAGGGTTAGTATGAGAGAAACTAAAGGGACTAGGAGCAAGTTCTAAGAAGGAAGCTTTAAGACAAATGCCTATGTTCACCATAGATGAGGATTTGGGTTGTGATTTAAGGTTTGACTGGCTTCCCTGTGCCCTGTATTTCAACCTGTGGTGATTTAATTTCAGTTTTCTAATGTAAGAAAAATTTCTACTTTCCTAATTTTATGTTAGTATTTATAACTGTCTAAAGAAAGAATCCTTGTACAAGTTTCCCTGAATATTTCAGTAATCAATAAATTATATTAGATAATAATCTTGATAATTATTGGGAATATGACTTGATAGAATATATACTATATACCATATATAATATATATATCATATATTATATGGTTCTTACATGGGATAGAGTGTTTTTATTCTGAACATGAAGTGTGACTTCAGAGTCTGAATTTTACTTTTGGTTGAGGTGTATCAAAGGGTTAGATAAATCATTGGCATAAAAACTTGGTCAGTAGGAAAATATTTCTGTATTTGGTAGTATTCTTTATTTGCGCAAACTCATATATACCAAATGGGAAATGTACAAATCCTCTGTTTCTGTAGTCCACATAGCAGGAAGTAGAATCCATGTTGAATAGTCTGTAGATCAGGCGTAGACCAACTTTCCCATGTCTGTTCCACTTGAGCTCAGTTGTGCACCCCTGAATTTCCTAACTGCTATGTTTATCGGGAAAAATAGTGGTCCCCAGTATAAAGGGGAGATTACAAAAATGATAAAAGTGTAAGTATTCGCTTCAGTTAGTAAACCAAAGAAAGATTGTCTAATAATTATGTACTTTTCCTTAAGCAAGGACTAGTTATTAGAATTTGCTGCTTTTAATTTTCTTAGGGTGTAGTGAAAACTGACTCATGTATGTTTCTGTCTTTATTTTTGTCCTGAGAATTATTGAACGTAACAATATGATGCTAACTAAGAAAGCATTGGGTTTTGTTTTTGAAAACCATGCTCCATAATGAGGTAGCTAAAGAAAAGGTTCAAATTGTCTACTAAAAATTTTATCTTCTGAACAAGAAGTACTCAGAAGCTAAGAATATAGAAGCTTACTTGTAAACATGATGTGTATTTGAATTAGCCTCTTAAAAATAATGATCATGTTTTATACAGAATATAGGGAAGTTAAAATCCTAGAGCTAGGAACCCTTTAGTAGCATCATACAGAAATATGTAGGAAAGTTGATGGATTCCACTTAACTGGAAGCTTGAATAGCAATTATTTTCTGCTGACAGTGGCTATTGCTAAGAAAATAAATGTTAACTTTTCTTTGTTGGATAAGAAAAGACCACATTGTTTACGTAGTCTAAATAGTTCTCGTAGTGTCTCTAAACTAGATATCACTAAGCCTTAGCCCAAAGCCAGAAGCAGGGTTATAACCAATATACTATGACTAAAGTACATGGACTTCTATTGGCATCACTTAACATCACACAGCCCATTCATCCTGATGGATTGCCTGCAGAAATTTAGCTCCACTATGGAGCCTGAGTCATGACACTATATGGAAATGAAGTGAGGGTGAAAAAGCTAAAATAGGTCATCTGTATCAGGAGATGAAGCTCTCATCCTTCTGCTGAAGCCACTGTGGCTGTACTGATCAGTCAGGACACAATCAGTGCATAACACAGATCACTCTGCCAAGCAGAGGCAGAAAGTAGGAATTAAGTTCAGGATATCAGGACTTGTTCAGGAGCCTAAGACAGGCAGAGAGTTGTAGTGAGCATCTAGTTTGTAACTATATGATGGTCTAAGCAGGTCATTGACATGGGAGAGAGCATCTGAGTGTCCTTGTGTGGTGAGAAAATTCAGTGTAGGAAGTATCTCCTTCGCCTGACATTGGCTAGCAGGTTACCTACTTAGAGTCAGCCTGCTTTCTAATCAAACCTAGGTAGCCACTGCCAATGTTCACAGGGCCAGGCAGATACTGAAAAGGAGTGAATCTGACTTGATACAATATAGTAGGAAATGGTAAGAACTGTAACGAACTAGCACATATGTGCTTCATCTAAAGACAACAGCTGTTATACAGCTACAGAATTGTTTTCCATGTGAGAGTTTGGGCCAGTGTTGCCAGATATGCAGATATTATTAAAAAGAGCTGAAAGACTCAGGCTTTTTTTTTTATATGAAAAACAACTGCCTTTTAAGTAATAGCAATGATAAATATTTTTAAGAAATACTGTGCAGGCTAAACAGAATACCTCTGTGTATTTGCCATGCCTGTGGGTTCATTTGTGATCATTGTTCTAAAATCTAAGAGTCTTATAATTAGGTAGCCAGCAGAAGACTCTTATTCCCGTTCATTGATTTACACTATGCAGTGTGGTGATAAGGGAGATCTTACCCACTGGTTGACAGAAGGAGAGCCTTGAACTGGAATCCCACCCAGTATTCTAAGCCTTACCCACTATCCTGAGCTGCTCATCACAAATGCGACAGAGTGCCCACAATGGGCTTGGCTTGTTTTTGGAGTGCAGTACACTGAAGAACATCTAAATATTGATTTGACTTAAAATGACACTAGGATTAGACAAACAACACGAAAGAAATTCAAGCATAATCATTGTACTCTAATACCTCATAATATAGTTGATAAGACAAAGTTAACAAACATTAATTGAAAGGAGGCTGGATGCTGTGGCTCTTGCCTGTAGTTCCAGCTACTTGGAAGGCTGAGAAAGAAGGATCGCTTGAGCCCAGGAGTTAGAGGTTGCAGTGAGCTAGGTGACGCCACTGCACTCTAGCTGGGGCAACAGAGCAAGACTCTGTCTCAAAAAAGAGAAATAGTTAAATGCTAATTTGTATGCTACGTGTGCAGTAGCCTTAAAAAAAAAACAAAACTAAAGATTGTTATGAATTGTAATGATTAGAGAAACCTTTATAACCAAGTTTGGGCATTAATTAGACCTTTAAAGAGGTAGAGATTTTTAAGGCTAGAAAGGGAGGAAGAACAGATCAGGTATACTTTTGAACACACAATCAGTGGCAGGACTGTGTGGACATACTTATTTGGAGAAGTAGTAATCTAGGCTGCAAGAGATACTTCTTGTAAGTATCTTTTATCTCTCAGTTGAGAGATAAAAACAGGAAAGACAAATGGAAAAAATCTTGAATGCTAGGAGATTGATTTTAGAATTCATTAAGCAGGTAGTCTTAATCCCCTTGTAATTGGGTTACCATAGTAATAGCTTCCTATTTTATTTCCTTGCCTCTATTTCCTCCATGCCCAATCATTTTGCAGTGTTACTACTAGAGTAGTCTGCTTTAATCTTCTCTTGAAACCAGTAATAGTTTCTTATTGGATGCTGCTTACAGAGCCTGCCCTCCCAGGCAGTGTCATTTTATACTGCTCCCTAACATGTGCTTTTAATCTGAAGCAGGCAGCCCTCCCCGCTGTCCTGCTAGGGCTGTGAGATTTCTCAGAGCTGTCACTTTGCTTGTGCTCTTCCTTCTAGCTATGAAGTCCCTACTGTTTCATCCTCTGGCAAATTCACTTAATTGACATAAGAATAAAAAGAAGTGCTGAGAAATTCAGGTTACTTGACCAAGACCATAAATGTTTATTTGGAGCTGTTGACAAAATGTCTAGTCTTGATTATTGGCAGCTAGGGCAAGAGAGGTGCTAAGAGGTCTAGGTGGAGAGTCAGTGGGATAACGAAACCAAAGCGAGCCTTTTGAAGGAGGAAGTTTAGCATGTAACTGTGGGAAAGCCTGAATTCAGACGATTTAATGGAATAGAATTGCTATGTAGATACAAGAACAATAGGAGCTCAGAGTCGTGTAAACCAAAGGTTTTAAAATGTTCATGAAGAAGGGAATGCTCCAATGCCATTGAAGGAATTAGAACCAATAAAAGACATTTGATTTGGTGAGAGAGGAATAGAGGCTAGATTGTTGGTGTTAATGAGGATATAAGTGATTAGGAAATTTACTCCATGGGTATTTGACAAATTGAATTGTGGAAATGGGATGGAAACTTGAATTGAAATGATCAAGTGAAATTATTATTAAGAAGAAAAAATAGTCAAAATAAACATAAGGTTTTTTACAAAATTGTTTTAATTCATGATATACTTGAATGCTGA